CCCCTCCCTCCACCTTTCTCTCTCTGTCTCTCTCACCTCCCGTCTCCGAGGAGCGTCCGGGCCGGGCTGGACCGCTACTCGGTATTGGTCCATAACTTATGCTGGTTACCGCTCCGTGCCACGGATCTCCGCGACACCGTCGTCGTGGCCGTACAGTACCCCTGCTGTACTCTCTGCAGTATGTACTCCCTGCAGGTACGCCGATGAATTCGATGTCTTCACCAAAACAACAAAAAATCCGTTAAATAGCGGTCTTAGAATCCAGCTGGATCTTTGGCTTAGCGCCGAAACGTCTTGGCGTATTTCTCCCGCCTCCCCTCCCTTCTTTTTCACCCACGTTTACGGCCGGTTCGCCCCTCTGTATATCATTTCCATTTTTCGCGCGCGGTCGCTCCTAACGTGGGCAAAGTCTCTGTGAGCGCGCGCTCGCATCTAGGGTCACTCTGGCATATAGAGTGGCATATCAGCGGGGCGTAGGCCCGTGGGGATTGGTTCATCATAAGGTCCGAGCCCCACGGGGACCCCCAAGGGGGCCCGGCCGGCCCCGGACTCGCGCGCCAATGGCCGTCCCGCAGGCCGGGCAAGGCGTTTCGCTTGGAATGCCAGATGGAGCCGGCGTGTCCCTCGCCTCCCTGCCTGGCACACATGGGAAGGGAGACAGAGAGAGACAGAGACAAGGGGCGTGGGTCCCGGCCGTACACCAGCATCGTGAGCTCCCCCGCCCCGTCCCGGCACTGGCCCTGTGTCAATTACGTAGGCTGTGCCTGTTACTGATCGTCGTTGCCGCCCCTCGCAGCAGCAGCAGCAGCATCGGGAGAGAGGCTAGCGCTGTCCAAGGCGGCACACACAACGGTGCATTCCTACGAAACGCACAAAAATATGTAATCAAAAAGACGTGCACATGTGCATTGTGTTTCTTATGTATGGAAATGCATCGGCGAATATGTATTCTGTGACCCCTAACTTTGACCCCGCTGCCTGCGGCGCCGCTATGTGCGTCCAGCCGTATATATAAGTGCGTTTCACTGGGTGCTGAAACGCTTCTTCTGCCGGTATGTGTATGTGTGTTTGTGTGTGCGTGCGAGCGTGCGGGCGCGCGGGCGCGCCTGGTATATTTAGGAACATGCCCGCTGCCGCTGGACTGAGGAGGCGCTGCGCTCCTGCGCCCATCACGTTGTGAGCGCGGTAGCAACAAAGTTTGACCAGTTTGACCACCACCGCTGCCGTCGCCTCGGTTGCCGCCCGCCGGATTCAGACGTGCGCGATTTGATAAGAAAACGCAGAAAGACGCTCTCGCGCTGTACTCGCGCTTGTACGTGTGTTGCATATTTCGTCTTTCATGGCAAAAGCGCGGTGCAGGTCCTGAGAACTTTAAAGTAAGGTGTTTAAATCATATCAGGGGGCAAGTAATTCAGGCAGAATAAAAAGGCTGCTCCTTTCAAAATAAAAGTAGCCTGATATTTTTATTTTTCTGTCGCTTTGTCCCACAGTTCTCTGAATCAGCGCAAGCCCCTCTCTCTCTTGGCCACCTGCTCATGAAAAATCTTGGCGTTTGTTCTCATCCGGTGGTTGTTGTTGCTGGCCCCCCTCCCCGCCGGCCAGGTCCCACGGCGGCGCGTGGGCGATGCATCCTGGCAGGACGTCCAGGACGTCGTCCCTCCCGACCCACGGGCTCCGGTTCCGGTTCAGGACGCGGGCCGTGGGGCAGCGGGCCGAACGCGCACCACGCGGTGCCACCCGGCGCCACCCAGAGAAAAGGCCAGTTTGACTTCGCTCATTGATGATACTCACAGGTCGCTCTGCGCAGAGAGAAAAATATAATAAAAACTCTGCAAAAACAAAAGTGGGAGTAAGTCGCATGTAAGGCTGATCAGAACTGTTTGTTACAGCGATTGTATGTAAATAACTTAATTAACATTTGTTGGTCTTGTCCCTCAAACATTTCGTCCACTGCATATTATTAATTTTAGTGATTTCTTTAT